GGGGGTCCCAGCACCTCCCTCCCACCCATGGCACAGGGGAGGTCCACAGCTGCAGTTCCATCCACAGCCCCAGCCCCAGCCTCTGCCTGCAGGGATGAGGGGAAGCCATGGCTCTGCAGTGCCCCCTAGTGGCTCGGCTGCGCTCACCTCCCCATACCCCCAGTTCCCCACCAGCAGCCTGGGGCTCACACAGCACGGGGTGCACGGTGAAGACATAAGGGACCGGTGCAGACATGTTCCTGCCAGAGGCCACTAAAAGGTAAACAATATAAATAGAATTGTTGTTTAACTGTTTAACAGTTTACATCCTTAACAGGGATATAGTACTTGGACAATAGGTCAAACGTGTTAGACAACAAAACTAGTGAATAAGCTGCAACATTTCTTAACTAAGAATAACAACACTATTTGTAATTCTTTTCAAGGTACAGAAGAGGGGAAAGGCTAGCAAACTAGGAATAAAGACTACCAAGGACTACTTGGACTGTGGAGCAGCACAGGGGGAATTAAATGATTAAGTATGAACAAAGCTGAAATTGAAGGCAGTAAGATAACATGGCTAATTTAACTTGATAAGACTAGTCTCATGGAGGTATAGCAGGTGTCTCTTGCAGGACAGATAAGGTAGATTGTTGCCCATCCCACCCAGTAAAGCCTCCATTCTAGCACCCCTAGAGTCTTTGTTAAGAACTTGCAAAGCAGCTCTATTACTGTTCTGTGTGGTGGAGGAAGTGCAATCTCCAAGTGCACTGCATAATAACTTGAAATTTGTTCTGGGATTTGGCCCGAAAAACTGATTCAACAAGTAAGCACCGGATATACTCTGACAACAGGTCAGGTCATGAATAAATAATTTGAGTAATTCTAGAATATGAACAAAATACAGTGCTGGATGAGGAAAATAAAATCCAAGGCACATGTTTTTTCTTTTTATAGTTCATTGCTAGACATACCTGAGCTTGATAGGCTGTTTGTAAATTCTCCAAATGAGTTTTATCAATACCAGGTTTCCCCCGAAAATAGCATTTTGTCTCTACCTCTGAAGTTTCTTTTAGTTTCTTCTTTAAAGCCACCTGCTCATCTTTAAAACAAATTCATTAGAACAACTGTGTAAACAGAAATAACAATAACTTCAAGAGAAGTAATAAAATGCAAGGTGATAACATAATGGACAGACATTGAGAGGCTCTGCCAAGGAGAAATATGACTCCCAAGGCTTTAGAAACAGAAGAAATTACGGAATCTATATTGAGAGAGCATAAAATTCAGAGGACAACCAGTTAACTCAGGAAAATATCTAATATTTATCTCAGTTCATTTTTTGCTAGTTAGTTTAAATTTACTGTTAGTACATACATAAATTTACACCAGGCTAGAACTGGTTACCAGGTCCAACCTAGAAACTAGATTTTAAAAAACAATTCCCATCCAGGTTATGTAGAACTTGCTGTATAAATGGGAAGCTGCATTTAAGAAAATAATTTCATTACTACAATGCAATTTTCAGTTAACTTAGATCTTTTTCCCTGAAAAGAATATTTGAAAACAAGTATTAAGTTACTCATGCCTGCAGGTCAACAAGTTTTGTTGCAGAGGAGGGTCCTTTTGCTTTTTTAACACAAGGTAACCACGGGGATTGCAGAACTGTGTGTGGTTTCCTACACATCTGTTTAAAATGATGAAGAGGGACCAAATCCACCTCATCTTCATGGTGGTTCTTCTCCCTGCCAAAACAGTGTTTGTGTTCTGCCTGCTGACTTTGCGGTAGTGGTTCAAATTTGTGGGTCAGATAGCATAACCAGTATACAACAGTTCCTTTGAGCCATCTCAACTGCCAAGTGGCAAAAGGGTGGTTATACCCAAGATACAGCCTCAGTGCTTATGAAGTATGTTTTTTTTGTGTCAACAGTTGCATTTGATTAACAAACTTAATTTAGTTAAACATAAGTAGTGTGGCAAGTCATTTTTTAAGTGGTCTGCACTTCATTTCAACCATGTCTATAATTTTATCTGGTGAACTGTATTAGTATGAATGTACTAACAGTCAATTTTCTCTTTTTTTTTGGACAGATTACCATTCCCAAATTTTGAAATTCTATTTAAACTTTGCTACCTTATTTTCTGGGACAGCTACTGTTGTAAATCTAAATCCACAGTAACACTAATGTTCCTGAAAACAAAATTTGATTGTCTCTACATTTTATTAGGGGACCGATGCTACACTATAATACATTAATTTATGTTGCAAATATATCTTAGGATACCTAGTTCCTTCTTCCACTGGGCCCTCTTTGCTTCTAATAAGGTTTTATCTCCTTCTCTTTCACCCAGAGTACTAAACATGTCAGCAGGTTTCCATGTGTTCTTGCTGAAGAAAGGAAAAAAAAGAAGCAAGTCAATGTATTTTAGAAGTCAAGATGCTTATTTTAAAGTTAAAAGTTAACTTCCATTACATATTTCAATGTACAGATGGAAGAAGAAAAAACTTACATTGCATACTTTACTGAACAGATCTACCTACATAATAATTTTATGTTCATCCTGCTGAGATGCTGCTTGTTTCGTGCTTGAATCAGAATTACTTTCACGTGGCGCAGATGAAGCTTCAGCAGCTTTCTGGAGTAATCCCATAATATTTTCTTCCTCTATCTGATTAGCAGCAGTAGTAGTAATAGCAGAGTTTTCAGCTTGGCCTAACAAAATAAAATGTACATTACTTATTTGTGACCTGGTAAATCCTCACTTCCACACTGTTTACAGTACGAAAAGTAAAACCTGGCAAATTCACATCTTCTACCTAAAATACAAGCTCTTCTGGGTAGGAACTTCTGCGTACAATGTATATGCAACGTCTAAGAAAATGGGGTTCTGATCTATAGGGCTGAGCTGAGGGGGGTGTAGCCAGGTCCTGGCAGGATGCTTTGGTTAGGGAGGGGTCCTCCCCACTTCTGACCAGCGCAGCACAAAATTGATAAGTGTTTATCACCCCTAACTCAGTGTGGTGAGGGGAACAGTGGGGGAGCAGCCTGCAGGCTCTGCAGAGCTCCAGCCAGGGAGCAGAAGGGAGGGACCAGCCCTGCTGTACAGCAGAGCCCTGCCCAGCCCAGAAAGCATGCTGGGAAGCTGGGGGAATCTGATTTAACGTAAACAAGCAAGGGGTCTGGGACAGACATTGCATAAATTGGTCTGACCCAAATCAGTTAAGTCTGATACTACATTCAACCAGGCTGATCTCAAACCGGTTTCAGCCATTTTCAAACTGTTTTATGTGAACTGAACATCTGTTCTGTTACAGGTTTAAACCAGTTTCTGAACACTTAAACTGGTATATGTGTAATGTCTGTCCCTAGCCTAAAAGAATATGTTGGGACAACCTGATTTTATAATAAAGTTTCAGAAGCAGTCAAAATCTTTTATAAGCTGTAATTTTTTCCTTTGGAAACAGAACCTGTTTATATCATGATGTGGAAATATCCTTCAGGTGTGGGTAATTTCAAGACTTTAAAACCAACTTGTATAGGGTAAACTTAGACTAATTTCACAAAGCAATTGGCTAACTTGCTACTCCAAGTGGAATGCATATAATGGTTAATTAACCAATAATAATCAATTATCAGGAGTACATAATAGGGATAGGGAAATAGAAAACTGGAACAGCACCAATTAAATCATAGATGAATTCATGAGACTTTTTACTTTAGAAACTAGGAACTAAAAACAGCATGCACTGGTGATTTTAAGGGAAACAGAATGAAGATGTCTTGCTACAGGACTGTTTTAGAAAATATAGCATGTGAGAAGTTTAGGCTCGTTTTACTACCATAGAGTCAGAATTTTTTTAAAGCTATTTGTATCTAAATATAATTCAAACAGCATTTCATTTTTGCTTTAAAAATCTGCAATTCATTTCTGAACTAGCAATTTGCCACTAGCTAACTTTAGGAGAATGGTAGTCTTATAGAATTATGTTGTAGCCAAGAATGTCATTTTTGCTGCAGGATATATACTTTACCTGTTTCTTGTTTTTCATCCTGGACTTGGGAGACAGTTTTGGCTCCTTCTTTTACAGTCATCAAAATTTGTTCAAGTTGTTCTTGAGTTAAACATACCAAACTGTTCCTCAAGTCTTCAGCTGAGACACGAGGTTTTTGAATCTTTTGTTTGGGCCTTTTAACTGCAATTTTAGGGTTCTGCAAATTGGACTTTCCATTTGTGTTATCTTTTGGAACAAGCAAAGTATGTTTTCTAGTTGAGATCTCCTTTGAATCTTGAGTTGATAATAAAGTCACATGGGTATTTTCACCTTTCATTGTTGACAATCTTGATTCACTTCTGGGTTTAACTGAAAAATGTTCATGTTTGGCACAAGTGTTTTGTGTTGATTTCAGAAAATGTCCAGCCTGTTTTATTTTCAATGCATGTTTGGGAAGTTTGACTTTATTACCCATCTGTTAAAACAGAAACAACGTATTTGATTTAATAGCCTTCGAACCATAAAACTGCATACCTAATCTCTTCCTTTCTTCCCTCCTTCAAGCAGCAAAAACAATTTTCTTTTATTTCTCTTCTCTAAATATTAAGAGATCATTCTGTTCTCAGTTATATCAATATGAACTTTAATTCCCTCAATGGAATGACTTATAGATAAGGAGATAATGGTGTATCCAAGATGAGAATAAAACTTGGCTTCAGGTATACACTATTTCTCATTTTAATCCTAAATTTGAATATAGATGCCAAAATAACAGTATGAAAATGAGCTTCACATCAGTCTCATAGTGCTGGTGTCAGAGATTATAAACTAAAACACGTGTCCATGCATTAGTACCTTTTCTACTCTGATCTCCCTCAAATAGCACCCTGACCTATTCTAGTCTACCCAGAAAGACTATCTTGTAGCTTTGCCATGGTCTTAACGTCAAATGGTTTCCAAAATATTTTTAAGGTAAGCCGAGAGGAAAGAAGTGCATTGCTTTGAGTTGGACTGTCTATAAACAGCCTAGTGGTAATCTTTCCTTAAAGTTTAGCCATCTTTTAGTACATTTTCCAATATGGCTTTCAAATTGACACAAGAACCTTTCATCCAGAGATCTTAAGTGTTATGCCTTCATTGATTAGCTATGCCTTACAATCCACTGCAGAATCTTGGAGTACCTATTTCATCTTAAAAGATGGGGAAACTGAGGAGAGAAGTGACATGTCTGGTGTCCAGGAGCGGGATGAAGAACCTCACTGTTCTACTCTACACAGAAAACAAACTCAAAAGATCAGGCTTTAATTACTAGATATATAGACCCTTATGGGAATGCAGATGTGTGTTATGCAGTGCTGCAGACCTGTCTGTGCTGCCACATACCACACATACAGGCATTCCGTACACTGCTACTTTGCAGTTGAGGGGCGGGGGAGATCCCAGGGTCAAAAACACCCAAACCTAAAAAAAGCAGAGTGGTGCACATATGCAGGCAACGCATGCCACCCAAAATTGGAGCCCGGCCAGCCAGAACCAAAATCTGACTACCTGCCAGACTCCCTGCTGCAGGGACACTATGGCTGTGACTCCCAGAGACCCCCAAGACTCCAGGTAAGGCTGCTGGGGTTAGTAGCACAGTTGCTGGCCCCAACCTCTCCAATCCCACTCGGGGCAACATGCTATGCGCCCGAGTATGTGTCACAGGCATTCGTCGGGGACAAGTACCAGTGGCACAAAGTGTGCCGCTGCTACTTGTTCCCAGGGAAAGACATGTTCAGCACGTTCCCACTTGTGGGGACGTGCCATATATGTACCAACAATGTACATAACACTGCTACCTTCTCAACATGCCCCCATGTCTACATCCAAAGTTGGGAACATGCACCCAACCTCAGATGCAGTCAGATACATATTTGAGATGTACTCCTTGAGTGTTCCCACACCTTCAGGGTGCCCTTCTGCCCCAAATCCCTCTCTGCTGTCTGCTATTTGGCCATTAAGAACCAGCTGAGATGTGCTAGGGGCCAACTTCTTGGCCTGTGGTACCTCAGCCTTACCCTTCTCACCCAGGTCTGGCCAGCTCGCAGCAGATGGGAATTTACCAGCTAGAAGAATTACCCTTTTATCTGATCATGCACCCAAAAAAGACAGATTTTCCTTCCCCTTCCCTGAAAGAGATCTGCCAAATGGTCAAATGCTTTGAAATCACAGTTAACAATGCCAATAAGTGAGATGCGAAAGATAACAAGAGACTTATCATAAAAACAAGAGGAAACACAAAAAAATCAGTAACTACATGTTGAGATATGGAGATAGATATAGCTAGGTAGGGGAGACAGATATAGATAGGTAACTGCCTAAATCATTGTTTTGTGGATTTCACAGAAACCATGACATCTGGGGTTGCCCGTGGAAAAAAAAAAACTTAATAAAAATAAGTACTAAGTATTCTCCTCCTGGGCAGGCCTCACAGGCCACCTAGAAGGGGAAGGCAGGGTGGCACAAAGGGGTCATCAGACAAGATGGCAGCTGCCCCTTCTTTCTTCTCCTCCCCAGGACATTTCTGCCAATCAGTACTGAGGGGTGGAGCCAGACTAAGAACAACCAGAAGTCAAGATGGCAGCTGCTCCTTCATCCCTTCCCCTCCCCGAGGCCTCTCTGCCAATCAGTCCTGAGGGGTGGGGCCTCTCTCAATCATTGCCAAGGGGCGGGGCCACCACCAAACACATGTGACATGGGCTCTTCGTGCTAGGACAAAGCTGCAAAAATGGCTTTGTCTTGCTGCGACTTAAGTAGGTCCCTAGATATAGGTATAAGAATACAAATCCTAAAGGAAGTATCAGAACAATAACCTGTTGTTACCCTTGTAGGAGTAAACTTAGTCAGCTTCTTGCCTTCCTGACTAGAAAAACAGACAGAGACCAGAAGTGCTGATGCTGCTTATTTCAGTTATATGTTTTGAGATAAAAAATCCTGCATGTCTTATTACCCTGTGCACAGAGGTCCAATTAAGTAAACTTGTTTTAGTTTCTCCAAGGTTGTATTTTTTTTCTCTTTATCTGTCTTAAGTATAAAAATGCTTGAAAACTTAGAGAGGGGGAGGATTCCTTTGAAACAGACAAGTGAGTGATTCCCCTTGCTGTATGAAATCCTCCCTGTGATCACAGTATAGCCCTAAATAAAAAAAGCTGGATCTGTCAGTTCTGATTCAACCACAACGCGAAGTTTGATTTCTTCCACACCCTGCACCTTAAATCCAAGAATGCAGTTTCTATTCAGTCCACTAGCTAAGGGACCAAAGCACTGTATGCCCAGAAAGTACAGTTTGGTGCTATTTATATGTACAGACTACACATGCCATATCAGTAAAACAAACTGAGGAGTGGGGTGGCATCACAGTAAGGTGCACGATTGACAGCCCAGAGGTCATAAGTTTGAGGCCGTAGCTGAAGCACTCATGGTGTGGCCTGTCAGATTCCAAAGAAATATGTGAACTCTGCTAAACACCTTGTCACAAGGACACAAAAAAGGAAGGAAGCAAAGAAAAATAAACTCAAGAAAACACAAATGACATCCCATGAACTCCTCCACTTTATGACATGCATCATAAATCACACGCCACATATTCAGACATGTTAGTGTCATAAAATGGCAACCCGGTCACAAAAGATGTTTAATTTAAAATGGCTGGTTTGCCATTTAATACCAAACATCTTTTTGCCTGGTTTGTATGGTATCTTAAATTGCATATATGGCATCTGTTGTGTTCTAGACTCTGAAGCTGACAACTAACTGATTGTTGGCATTGGCTGGGGACAGCCCTGGGTCTGAAACCAAAACTGGGGCAGTCGGGAAGATGAGGACAAATTGCTGAATGTTTGCATCAGCCTCAGAGTCTGGGACTAGATCCAGAGTCAGCATCAGTATGGGACTGCACCAGGTCTGGGAATGGGCCTGGGGCTGTCAGGGGCTGATGTCAACAATCAGGTGACACACCCAGGAATCAAGCTGGGGGAAGCTCTGGGTCCTTAACTGGAACCTGGGGCTGCTTGTACCCAATCCAGACACTCACCTGAGCATGGAAATCAGACCTGAGGCAACCCCACAGTGGTGTGACCGGGATATGAGGAATATTATGGGATGGGGCATCAAATTCCCAACCCCAACCACACCATTATTTTATCATCTACTAGAGGGCTCAGACAAACTGTATACCCAGTAAAGGGGTGCATGCTGACTTAAATCTACCCTCTTTGTTACCTATCATGAGTTTGAATACAGGTTTCCTTATGTGGGTTCTGTATATGCGAATTCACTCTTATGCGATGAGCATATTTAGCCCCATAATTCGTTATATGTGAGGTAAATTTGCTCTTATGTGATCAGCGTAAAGGTCTGTTCCCCCCCCAGCAGGTAAGTTGGGCGGGGGAGGCCATGGCCCCATTCACCCCTTCCTGTGCTGGAGTGGCCCCGGGAGCGGCCGACACAAGTTGCCTGCAGCTGCTGGGCTGCACCGTGCCCTGGTACAGGAAGCTGGTGTCAGCTGTTCCCAGGGCTGCTGCAGCTGGAGTTGGGGTGAGTGCCGTGCTCTGCATTGCCCACGGCTCCGCTTGTTTGCACTCACCCCAACCTGTGCTAGAGTGGCCCCGGGAGCAGCTGATACCAGCTGCCTGCACCAGGGCATGGTGCAGTCCAGAGGCTGCAGGCAGCTAGTGTTGTATGTTCCCAGGGCCTGCTCCAGCACAGGAAGGGGTGAGTGGGGACTGGCAGAACCCCAGGGGGGTTGGGGTACGGTACAGCCCAGCTGCTATAGGCAGCTGGTGTCAGCTGTTCCCAGGGCTGGGGTGAGTGCCTCACTCCCTTCCTGCCGTGGGAACCTATCCCTATTTGTTACATTATAAAGTGGGTTCCCTTTATGTGAATTCGATACATGCGTTCCCATAAATCGAGGGAAACCTGTAACAGAATTTCACTTGTTACACTGACCACAAATATTTAGAGAAACTGTTAGTTTCTCTAAATATTTATGGTCAGTGTAACAAGTGAAATGTGAAGTGAACACACCTTGAGATTAACTATGGTGTTTTTGTTGTTAGCTAGAGACCAGGAGTCATTCTTTTACTTACCTTTACTGTGGACTTTGATTTACCCACTGTAAAACAAATAAAAAAGCACATTAAAACAGTGTTAAATAACTGAAATCCACACCTTGCAAATTTAGTCTCAATAGGCATAAAAATCTGTTATCTTGCCTGATCTCTTGTGGAATGCATACCATAGAACAGCATTTCCCAACCTTTTTCACCCTGCAGCACACATACATGACCTCCCCTGCCCCACCAGTCAAGTGGGGGGGCGGGGAGTGGCCGAATACCGCAGAGCGGTGGAAGGGGATGGGGAGGTGGGGATCAGGTGGCAAGAGGCTGAATGCCGCAGATTGGGGAAGCGGGGTAGCAAGTGGTGGAACGCTGCAGAACAGTGGGAAGGGGGTGATGCGGCATTTGAATCACTGGCTGGAGCCACGCTCCCCGCATCTGTCTGGCTGCCCACAGCAGCAGCAGGCAGGGGGTGTGGCTCCAGCCCAAAATGCCATGGCATACCTGAATGCACCTGATGGCACACCAGCGTGCTATGGCACACTGGTTGGGAAACAGTGCCATAGAAGATCAATAACTTCTCCATCAAGCCCACACCATCAGTTCTATTTTAAAATACTATATTTTTAAAGTGATAAAAAATCGACTACATCCTAGGAAAAAGTATTAAAATGATTAACTGCACTTTTAATTAAAAATTGTGTTTTTCAAGTCAAAACTGATCTAGTGTCAACCTCTAATCATTAAATCTAGTCACGTTTTTTCTTTTTAATACTGCTGAACCTAAGATTGAAGTCTCCTTCTCTCCCTTGCAGACTGATCAAGTCACCGTTTAATCTTTTCTTGGATAAACAAAATAAGATGACCTTTTAATCTCAATACAATTTTACTACTAAAACAAATAAAAATCCTACCGTATGAAGCCAAAATAAGCCTTGGCTTTCCATCCAGTATTTCAGTTTCAAGCTTTAATCCATCTCTGTAAAACAGAAGAATGCTAAAAATAATTTAAAGTGCTTTTCTAATTATAAAGATATATTACAATAATAAATATAAAACTAAGCAAGGGCCAAATTCTCTTCTCCATTATGGCAAGTGCAAATCAATGGCCCAGATTATTTCCACTCCCTTTTCACACTTGTTCTAACTTCAAATTATTCCTTCTACACAGAGACAAGTGAGTCTTTTATCTATGAAACAGGAAGTAAACTAATGTGGCAGAAACAAGTGAGTCTTTTATCTATGAAACAGGAAGTAAACTAATGTGGGACTTGAAGACCTAGGGTTCAATATCCTGCTCCACTCTCAATTTCCTTTGATACTGGGGTTCTAATCTCTCTCTGCCTCAATTCCCTATGTTCGAAATGGGTACCTCCCCACCTTATAGAACTGGTGTAAGGAGGAAGTACATTTTAAAAAAATCAGTTACTATAATAATGATCACATGAAAAAAACACCATAGTTTGTGGTATATATAAATATAAAAGTGCTGTACCTATGCTAAAACTTGCAGCTGTCTCAAAAAAAGGTAAAATGTATCAATTGTGGATGACCTAAGTCTACGGGTACCCACAGAAATTTGTGCAAATTACTATTTGTGATATAAATTATGCAAATTTTTATAAAAGTTAGTGTTTTCAAATCTGCATCTCACTTCCATGTGCTTAGGTACAGCAGGGTCTGACAGTAATTGAAGAGTGGGAGGAGAACAAATTGGGGAATCAGAGGGCAAAGGGGCCACTTGACCCCCCCCCCCCACAATTTGTTTTCATTGCTGTAGCAATGGGAGGTGGACAAATTCAGGACAAACCACCAATAATTAGATTCTATACCTGGAAAATTATAACAACTTTATACATTTTCCATATATAGAGTCTAATTATTGGGGGGGTCATCTTATATTTGAGTAAAATATATCACATTTTCTCCTTGCTTCATAATCCTTGTTTTGTGCTTGCTTAATTTTATATGCATATATTAAACACTTTATATTTATAGAAAAGACAGAAAACCAGAATATACAAGTATCAAAAGCAAGCTATATTAATCAGATGCTCTTTGTTTTAGGCCTATCCAAGTTGTGTGGACATCCTTCTATAAATGCACGATGTATCATCACATATGATTTCCTGCCTATTGCAAGAGTCAGGTATAAATGATCTAAGTAGCTTACTATAAAATACATGTTAAATGAAAATATTTTAACTTTTATATCAATTTCAGAACCACATGCCCCCCTTGAGATTGGCCGCTGCCAGCTTCTGCAGGCAGTCGCTGCTCACCGCCCGCCCCACCCTCGCCACTGATGCAGCTGGCAGCCTCTGTAGGCGGTCCCCGCTTGCCGCTCACCCCCCCACCACTGACACTGCTGCTGGCTGTTGTGGGTGGTCCCCACACACCGCTGGTGGCTGCAGGCAGTCCCCGCTTGCCACTGCTGACACTGCTGCTGGTGGCTGTGGGCAGTCCCTGCTCGCCACTATGGTGCCCCCCCAGGTCTCAGGAGTCTCAGGAGTCATTCATGTTCAGAACCATTCAAGGCTGTGAGATGGCAATAAATGGAAATCAGTCTTTATGTGTTTATAATCCTTATATGGTCTTTAAATCATAACTAAAAAGAAATATAATGCTTTCATAGTATTGTGGATCACATGCTGCTATGAGACTCCTTTGGAAACAAAGGACATTTTTACACATGCTCCGGATGGGGGGTACTTTAATTAGAGCAGCTCTCA